ATTCTATGATTCTATGATTCTATGATTCTATGATTCTAATACTGGCAGCACTGGCTGGCAATTCTGGATTTCTGCATTTCTTGGGGATACCTAAGGGACCAAGGCTGTGCCAGTCATTAATTAAGCTCACTGAATCTCTGGAATCAGGGAGTGCCGAAGGCACTTGGAATCACCTGTAATATGTATTCTTTGTATGGAAAACGCAAAACGTATTTTTAAGCTTCTAGAATTATTAGCCATTTCTCTTGCTCTATTAAAAGTAAGGCACAACATCAAAAACGTTTTCTTCAACTTTGGAAGGAACAAGGAAAAAAATTTATAACCAGGTATTATAAACATGACTGCTGACGAAAAGCAGAGAAATACCATTGCATGGCTGTTTTCTATTTCACAGGATGACATCATTTCACTCTGCAGACGGACAACAGTGGGCTTATTTTCATCTCTTGCTCATCTTGATTAAAAAGGGATTCTTCCAAGATAAATGATTTAGGAGAAAAAAATCCTTTTGGCTTAGAAAAGTCAGTATGTAAAAGCAGCAGTTACTTTCTGTTTTAAATGGGACACGTCTGAGCTTAGTTTTATTTAGAAAAAGAGATTTTTACGTCAATTGGTTTTGCAGAGGCGGTGAAGTTAGACAAAAAGTTTTTACTATCCTACATGTTGTTACTAACACTGTCCACCAAACCTCATTTCAGAACTTTTATCTCTAGAGCTGATGTCAGACAGACAGAAAACTCATTTGAGTTTCACAGGTCAATAGGTTTACGAAGGAAATTTATTTCTGACATCTAAGGAGGAAGAGACTTCTAAAATACTGATAACAAACATGGAAAAAAATGCATCAGGTAACTTCCTAACTTGATATATGTATTACAGACCCAGCTGCTTCCAAGAACAGGTCTAGTAAAGCAACTGTTCTGCATCTTAGCATATTAGAATTTTCATAATCTTGGGTTGCACATTTTATAAAATCCAAGCTTTACACTGTCCAAGTACACCTGCTAAAACTGTTTTTTAATCCTTAATTCAAGTAACTACAGTTAGTAAGTGAGGAAAGCTCGGCATGAGTTGATGGGAAGCTGTGAACAGAAAATCTGTACATATTCTGGGACTCCATCAAGGTTTTTGATCTTGATACCATTTTAAGAAAAAAAAGGTAAGAAAAGAAAATATTTAGTATAGATCTATATAAATCCCCTAAATTTGTTTCTTAACTCTCAGGCAAGTTTATTGAGACAGTAGCAGAAAATGGGTTCTAGATAGCGTGGAAGCATCTTCTATTATAAGGAAAAGTGAATGGAAATATCCTATAGAAGAACATATAAATAATAATGCAGTTATACATGCAGATGAGGCAATATTATTTTCAAAGGCTAAAGTCAGCAGCCCTCATGGAGAGTGCTGGCTTCTAGTCTTCTGCTTTACCTATATACCTATTTACAAGACAATTATCCTTACAGAACTTCTGATTTCACATTTTGCAGATTTCCATCTTCCTTGTATCCCTCTTTTCCAGTTTACTTCTCTACCACCAGCTGTGGAAACACCCTCCTCCAACAACAAATTGGTCTCGTCTACCAATACTTCTGCATTTTTACCTGTTCATTCTCACTACCTCTGACGAAATCCTCACTGCAGCTCTTTTCTTTATGGATTCAGTAAGAATGAGTATCAGTCATATTGCCCTTTCCTCATGTAATCCACTTGTCCGCCTACGCAGGACTATCTTTAAACTCCCTCTGTCTTTCCGCAGCTGACCAAACAGACTGCAAGTAAGGTAGCCCTAAAGCACTCACATCTTCCTTCCTGCTTGTCTATGGCTGCTCAAGTCCTGCCAATACTGGTGGACAACACCTCCTCCTCTGCAGCCACTGCTGTCTGCAAGTCTCCTTCATGCCAATCTGAAAGTTCAATCCTACTCGTCCTGATCCAAGCCTCAGTTTCTACTGTGCTCCATGTATTCCCACGTTCCCCAATCTTCAATTAGGCCTGTTAGGACATGAAGGATTATTTTTCCGCTGTTTTCAAAAGTACTCAGAGATCTTTAACTTCTGCTGCAACAGGACAGAAGAAAAGGGCTGTGTTTTAGTGTTTCATTTGAAGGACTGACCCATCCGAATGCCAATTCTGAGCACACCATGAACATCCTTGCTATTACCCAACACACGTGAAGCTCCTTCCCTTCCCTGGCACCCATCAGTCTCCTTGGTTACAGATGGAAGAAGAGCAACCTGACAGCTGGCTTTCGAACTCCTTCCATAGTTCACACAGCAGTTTGTTGGACACTGGCATCCAGCTGGTCCTTATGGCACCCAGACGTCTACTACAGAGCAGTTCCACAGTGGGATGTGGGAGCTTGGTGGGACACTAAATAGCACCCTTCACCCTTGACCTAACATTTCACACTCAGACTCCAAAAAGACCTAATCAGATAACCCAACATTGCCTCACTGAATTGAACAGTGATAAGCAATAATAAAAATGGTAGTGAGACTCTATCAGAAAGACCCATCTACCACAGTGAAATCAGTTCCTCTAGAGCAGGACAATTAAGTCATGTACGAGTGGGACAGGAGCCTTGAGGCTGCGTGGAGAGCAGGAGGTCACGGTGGTGCAGAGGCGACAGGCATGATGTGAGCAAATACAAGAGGACTTGTTGGTTAAACCAATAGATTGTGTGTGAATTGTGTATGAATCACAGCTCTAAAACAAAGAATTCACCTCTTGGTTTCGGTGTAGGCAGGAGCTACAGCGACAGGGGGGAACAACGAGGCAAGAAAAAGTAATTTACTGGAACAAGAAGTAGAAAGTACAAGAAACCAGATCACTTCACTGTAGACTTTGAACTACCAAGCAGGCATCCAAAAAACCCTAGAAACCATTTAAAGCAAAGGCAAAATAATGGCTACAACCACACAACTGGTCCAAATAAACAGAAAAGGCAGTATTTAGAAGTAAGAATATTTAAAAAGAAAAACTCCAGCAGGTAAAGTAAAACAGCTTCTGCTGTCATGTTAATTTCCATGAAAAGCCTCCTTAATTCCAGTGAGGAATTTGCTCCTGAAATATATTTGTAGCTTTTTTTTTTTTTTTTAAAACACACCCTGGGCTGAAATCCGAGTAGGAATTATTTCTACTTGTCCACAAGGGATGCTCGTTGATGTAGATTCAGATAGACTATGCATGTCTCTACACTCCTTCACCACCTATTATATGATGAACACTTACTCATCAGTACAGTACTCACCAAAAAGAAAAACAGAGGACTGAACCTTTCCCTCCCCTCATCCTAGAACAATTCTCAGGAAAAAAATACCACTAGCACCTAAATACCTAAATAACTTTTTTTTTTTTCATTTTTTGCCAAGCAAAAATGCAGAGAAAGGATAAAAATATTTCCTTTTGTGACAGCTTCAGAATGGCCTTTATAAACACCATCAAATCCCTACCAGACAAATGTCAAAATTCACACAAACATGCACAAAAAAACCCCAACCCACCAACATTACTGGTCTTCTTTGCAGTTAGAGAAACAGTATTTTATTCTATAATAAGTTCATCCACATTTCAAGATATAAAATGGAAAATATTTGTACAGATACTAACATAAACTGAAGTCTCTGAAGGCTCTGATCTAGTATTTTTCAATAGCACTACAAGATGTTACATGACTTGTGGTACATACTGTTTTGTACACAGTACATGATCACACACAGGCAACTGCCCTAGGTTTGTTTTTTTTTTTTCCAGTACCATTTATCCACAGCGAGCTTCTACCATAGTACTTCTCATCTTGTATTTTCATTATATCTTTCATCTCAAAATACTTAAAAGCACTTACAAGAACAGAGGGAAATGAAGGCCTTTGAAACTCTAGAATCTGGAACAGTAGAATGTTGGCCCTCAAAGAGGTTTGATTTTGGGAAGAAAAGGATTTACGTTCTCATTCTCTCCTCAATGAAGACTAACTCTGGAAAACCCAATGTACTGATACTGGCAGATTACAAATCAGGAAGAGCCTGAACGCCTGTGGTGACTGTTAGTCTGAACGGCTTTTCCCTAGACTACATTCCTCTTCCTGTAACTTGCTTTTGAACAAAGTAATGATCAAACTTCAAATATCTACAATCAACTCTAACTTTCTCTTAATGAAAGAGAGAATGCTACATTACAATAGAGTATGAAAATTACTTCTTTGGTGGTACAGCCTGAAAGGTGGTAATTTCCATCGGAGCCTCTTGTAACTCCCACTTGGCAAAGCATCTAGTGTCATAGGATGCTCTCAGAAAATTACAGGCTTTGGGAATGTGCAAAGAATACGTAATGTGTGCCATATAATTATTAAGAACGAGTTCCCTTAGGCACAGGATGCAGTTAATAGCGACTTACTCAAAAATCACTCTGCACATGGGGATCATGCTTTAGAAACAGGTATGTCACAGTTGCAAAAGGAATATACTTCATAGGTAACAAGACTCAGCTAGTCAGAAATACCAGGTCAGAGGCACTGAAGAAAAAAAAAAATGAGACCTTGCAGGACACATCTATAGAAAATCATCCATCTCAGGAAGAAAAGGGAAGAAATCGTGCTGTACAGTCCAAAGGCAGCGGCCGGTTATGAATGGCACAGACTGAACTTCCCCCTTTGCTCATAAGTGGGTATCTTTTCAGAAAATAGAAAACAGAACAAGACGACATCTTGCCCAAGAACTGGGTTTGATTTTTAGGAGGGAAACTGCAAAGTTTCTACTAAAAGGCTTTGATTCTGATCCATGCACTTCTAAAAATGAATCCAAGCACCATTTACAGTTTCCCAGAGGAATGAACTTTCCAGCTGACATTTTGTTATCATCACAGCATCAAAGATACTTACTCATGCTATACCCACTGATACAATGCACTGGTTATGTGATCTCATGCTCAGGGACCAGGATTAAACTCACTTCAGACAACAAAGAATTTACAAGTTAGAGAACTGGTAAAGAATACAAATTATTTATTTGTTTTCTGGTTCAAATTCTGATCTTTGCTGTTCAGGACTAGGTGATCCAAGGTGACTCTTGATGGGCAGACTTAAGTATGTCAGCATACAGTTTTCTAAGAGGCTGATAGAAGGACGGGATGCCATCCAGAGAGACCTGGACAGGCTAGAGAGGTGGGCCTGTGTGAACCTCATGAGGTTCAACAAGGCCAAGTGCAAGGTCCTGCACCTGGGTCGGGGTAACCCCCAGTATCAGTACAGGCTGGGGGAAGAAAGGATCGAGAGCAGCCC